TTCACAGTGGCCCTGTAGGCCATAATAAGAACAGCCACAGAGGATTTCCAATACTGCCCATCTTTACAGAAGCAGACTGTCATATTTTCCTCCCAAAGAGTGGCTGCTGGGTTCAAGTCACTGACTTTTGGGTAGGCAGCCAAATGTTTTAACCACTGTGCCACAAGGGATCCTAGCAGTATTCATTGTTGTTGTTGTTGTTATGTGTCGTGGAGTCAGTTTCGACTCATAGCGACCCTGTACAGGGTTTCCAAGGCTGTAAATCTCTACAGAAGCAAAAAGCCTCATCTTTCTCCCATGGAACAGCTGGTAGTTTCGAACTGCTGACCTTGAGGTTCGCAGCCCGATTTGTAAGCACTACGCTACCAGAGCTCCTTAGCATTATTCATGGAGGCCCAAATTTACCAATGATTAATTTCCTTTATAAAAATCATTCTTGTTGAGATACCATTTATGTACAGCATCTATGGTCAAGTTTTAAATAGTTCTTTTAAAAAAAAAAAAAAAAAGAGCAAGGAACATGAGAGCTGACTGGTAAATGCAGGTGGAGAGTTTGTGATGAATAGAATTCCAGTGACGAACCAGTCACTGCCTTTGGGATTTAGGGAAAGTCTTCCTTGTTTGGAAGGCTGGGATATTCCTTCTCCCTCTCTAGAGCTAGCTACTCACAGATCTTCCAGGTCAGGGCTGGATGGGTGTTAGTGGCAGTAACACAAAAGTGATCGAGTTGGGAAGAACTGTAAATTGGGCACAAGACCAAAGGGTCTGCAATGAGGCAGATCTCAGTTCAAACTCAACCACCATCTTTAACTTGCTGTGCAAACTGGAACGAGTTACTTGGAGTCTCTGAGCCTGCCTCTGTCTCCTCATCTGTATGATGGTTATGTCTCAGAGGGCTGTGAGGTTGTAAATGAGTTAATACAGCTATCACACTGCCACAGGGCCTGTACGTGGTTGTTGTTGTTAGGTGCCATCGAGTCGGTCCCGACTCATATATACAACAGAACGAAACACTGCCCCAACTTCACAGTCAGTGCTATGCTTGAGCCCACTGCCGCTGCCACTGTGCCAAACTATCTAGATGAGGATTTTCCTCTTTTTCATTGACCCTCCACTTTACCAAGCATGATGTCCTTTTCCAGGGACTGGTACCTCCTAATAACCTGTCCAAAGCACATGAGACAAAGTCTGACCATCCCAGCTTCTAAGAAGCATTCTGGCTGTACTTCTTCCAACACAGATTTCTTTGTTCTTATGGCAGTCCATGGTACTTTTAATATTCTCCTCCAATACAATAATTCAAATGCCTCAATTCTTCTATGGCCTTCTTTATTCATTGTCCAATTTCCATATGCATATGAGGTTACTGAAAATACCGTGACTTGCGTCAGGCGCACCTTAATCCTCAAACTGACATCTTTGCTCTTGAGCACTTTAAACAGGTCTTGTGCAGCAGATTTGCCTAATGCAATACATCGTTTGATTTCTTGACTGCTGCTTCCATGAGTGTTGATGGTTGATCCGAGCAAATGAAGTCTTTGACAACTTCAATCTTTTCTCCATTTATCATCATGTTGTTTATTGGTCCGTTGGTGAAGACTCTTGTTTTCTTTACATTAAGGTGCAATCCATACAAAAGACTGTGCTCTTTGATCTTCATCAGTAAGTATTTTAAGTCTTCTTCACTTTCAGCAAGCAGGGTTGTATCGCCTGCATATCACAGGCTGTTAATGAGTCTTTCTCCAATCCTGATACCATGTTCTTCTTCATATATCCCGGCTTTTCAGATTCCATGCTCGGCACACAGATTGAATAAGCAAGGTGAAAGAATATAACCCTGGCACACACCTTTCCTAATTTTAAACCATTTGGTGTCCCCTTGTTCTGCTTGAACAACTGCCTCTTGGTCTATGTACAGGTTCCTCATGAGCACAATTAAGTGTTCCAGAATACTCATTCTCTGCAATGTTGTCTATAGTCTGTCGTGATGCATACAATAGAAAGCCTTTGTGTAGTCAATAAAGCACAGGTGAACATCTTTCTGGTATTCTCTGCTCTGAGCCAAGATCTACCTAATGTCAGCAATGATATCCCTCATTCACCTCCTTGAACCTCTGGCAGTTCTCTGTCACTGTACTATTGCAACCATTTTTTAATTATCTTTAGCAAATTTGACTTGCATGTGACATTAATGATATTGTCTGATGATTGCTGCGTTCTATTGAATCAGTCACTTCTGTGGAATGGGCACAAATATGGGTCTCTTCCAGTCAGGTAGCCAAGTAGCTGTCTTCCAAATTTCTTGGTATAGATGAGTGAGCGCCTCCAGTGCCATATCAGTTTGTTGAAAGATTTCAATTTGTATTCAATCAACTCTGGCACCTTGTTCTTTGCCAATGCCTTCACTGCACCTTGGACTGCTTCCTTCAGAGTCATTGGCTCTTGATCATATGCTACCTCTTGAAATGGCTGAACATTAACCACTTATTTTTGATACAGTGACTCTGTATTCCTTCCATCTTCATTTGAAGTTTACTGCATCATTCAATATTTTGCCCAGAGAATCTTTCAGTATTGTAAGTTGTGCCTTGAATTTCTTCTTCAGTTCCCTCAGTTTGAGAAATGCTAAGCGTGTTATTCCCTTTTGGTTTTCTAACTCTAGGTCTTTGTACATTTCATTATAATGTTTGACTTTGTCTTCTGGAGCTACCCTTTGGAATTTTCTATTCATCTCTCTTATTTCCTCATTTCTTCCATTTTCTTTAGCATTTGTACACTGGAGAGCAAGTTTCAGAGTCTCTTCTGACATTCATTTTGGTCTTTTCCTTCTTTCTTGTCTTCTTAATAACCGTTTGCTTTCTTCCTATATAATGTTCTGATGTCATCCCAAACTTCTTCCAGTTTTTGGTCATTCATGTCTAATTCATCAAGTCCGTTCTAGAAATGATCTTTAAATTCAGGTGGATTATGTTCAAGGTCATAGTTTGGCTCTTGTGGACTTGGTTTAATTTTCTTTAGCTTCAGTCTGAACTTGCTTATGAGCACTTGATGGTCTGTTCCACAGTCTGCCCCTGGCCTTGTTTTGACTGATGATACGGAGCTTTTCCATCACTTCTTCCCACAGATGTAGTCAATATGAATTCTGTGTATTCCATCTGGTAGTGGTGGTGTGTCGTGGAGTTGGTTCAGACTCATAGGGACCCTGTACAGGGTTTCTGAGGCTGTAAATCTTTATGGGAGCAGAAAGCTTCATCTTTCTCCTGTGGAACAGCTGGTACTTTCAAACTGCTGACCTTGAGGTTAGCAGCCCAACTCGTAACCACTACACTACCAGAGCTCCATCTGGTGAAGTCCATGTGTATAGTCGTCTTTTATGCTGTTTTAAAAAAAGATATTTGCAATGAAGTAGTCATTGGTCTTGCAAAATTCTATCATGCAATCTCCAGCATCATTTCTAACACCAAGGCCATATTTTCCAACTACTGATCCTTTCTCTTTGTTTCCACCATTGCAATCCAATCGCTAGTAATTATCAATACATTCTGATTGCATGTATCAGTTCCAGACTGAGGAAATTGGTAGAATTCTTCAATATTATCATCACTGGCTTCAGTGGTGTTTGTGTAAATTTTAAAAATAGGTGTATTAACTGGTCTTCCTTGTAGACATATGGATATTATCCTATCACAGACAACACTGTACTTCAAGATAGATCTGGAAATGTTCTTTTTGACGATGACTACGACGCCATTTCTCTTTGATTTGTCATTCCCAGCATAGTAATGATGTTGATGTACGAGTCAAAATGACCAATACCAGTCCATTTTAACTCACTAATGCCTAAAATATCAATGTTTATGTGTTGTATTTCATTTGTGAAAACCTCCAATTTTCCCAGGCTCATACTTAGTACATTTCATGTTCTGATTATTCACAAATGTTTATAGCTGTTTCTCTTCATTTTGAGTTGTGTCCCATGAGCACATGAAGATCCCGAAGGCTTTACTCCATTCGCGTCATCACGGTCAACTCTACTTTGAGGAGGCAGCTCTTCCCCAGTCATGTTTTGAGTGACATTCAGCCTGGGGGGCTTATCTTTTGGCATAATATCTGACAATACTCTCATGCTCTTCGTTGGGTTTAAATAGTCAATATTCTGATGCTGACAGTGTTCCACTGCTATTCATAAGGTTTTCTTTCAGTCTGTCTTAGTCTGGAAGCTCATTTGAAACCTGTCCACCATGGGTGACCCTACTGGTATTTAAAATACCAATCGTATAGCTGCCAGAATCACAGCAACACACAAGCCACTACAGTAGGACAGACTGACAGATGCATGGTGGTCTGTCAGTTAGTATGCACTTGGTAGGTACTTAATAATGATTAATATTGTTCTTATTCCATCATCTGCCTGTCACTTTTTCATCCTTTGGTGGCTTGCATGATGCTAAGATGCTGAAAGCAATGCTACCACTATTTCAAATACCAGCAGGGTCACGTATGGACCCACAAGCTTCAGTAGAGCCTCCAGATTAAGACACACAAGGAAGAAAGGCTTGGCAAGCTATTTTTGAAGATTAGCCTATGAAAACCTATGGCTCACAGCAGAACGTTGTCCAACTTGCTTATTTTGGCCATGTTATCAATCACTAGAGGAGAAAATGTTTGGTGAAGCAGAGGGCCAACAAGGGCAAGGGAGACCCTTGGTGAGATGGATTAGCATAGGCCCTATAATGATCAAAAAATAAATCAATTCCTTCAAGCATGCTGGCGACTGGGAGGATGGGGTAGGTTGGGCCATGTTTCGTTCTATTGTGCACAAGGTTGCCGTGAGTGGGACTCGACTCGATGGCACCTAGCGACAGATTGTTTTTATGAAGGCAGGAATTTGTCAGGGTTTGAATTCCAGGTGATTTGTTTTCGTGACCATCAAGCTTGCCTGAGAGTTGTCACACTGTGGTAGTGACTCTGAGGACACACATAACTTGTCTAAGTTCTACCTGGCCTTTCAGGCTCTGGATCTCTCTCTGATTGGCGTTGATGCCCTCATCTGGAAGCTGAGGCTTCTGTGACACCACCCGTTCATTTGGCCTGGGGGTAGCTGCTGCTGACAGCTTCTGAGTCATTTCAACCACTTCGTTCTGCAGGTTGGCGATCACTGTGTCTTTGTATTTGGATTCGATTTCAAAATCCGAGAGACGGCTGACTTCTTTTCCCAGCAGCAGAATTATTTCATCCTGGGTAGAGATGAGACAGGAAGTTTATAGGTGTGTGTTGAGATGCAAGGACAGATATGATACTATTCTTTAGGGGAGGTGAGGGAGGCAGGGAGGGAAGAGGCAAACTCTCAAGGCTACCTCTGTGACTTGGAAGACTCAGAGAGACTGGTGTGTCTACAATTATATACTCATACATAGGCTCCCAAGGAATGGTGCAAATGGGCAAGTGCTCAACTCCTATCAAAGATTGGCAGTTAGAACCCACCCAGGAAGTGCCTCAGAAGACAGGCTTGGCAATCTGCTTCTGAAAGGTCACAGCCTTGGAAATCCTCTGAAGCCAAGTTCTACTTTTTTATGAGTTGGAACTGATCTGATGGCAATGGGTGATACAGGCTCCCAGACCCATTTTGTTGGGTTGAATAAAACACCCCAAGCTGATCCCAATCTATGCTGACTCCATGTGTAGCAGTAAAAGTCTTTCTCCCGTGGTGCTGTTGGGTGGGCTCACCCACCTTAGGTTAATTCAAAATCCCACTGCCATTGAGTCAATTCTGACTCATATCAACACTATAAGACACAGTAGAAATCTTTCCTAGGGTTTCTGACACTTTCTCTCTCAGAGTGGCTGGTGGGTTTGAACCACTGACCCTGTGGTTTTAGAAGCCCAATGTTTAACTCACTGCCCCTGCAGAGCTCCTTTTAGGTTCATGGTCACGTGCAAACCATTTGTACCACCCAAGGATCTATATAAGGAGCTCTGGTAGGGTAGTGGTTACTAGTCGGGCTGCCAACCTCAAGGTCAGCAGTTCGAAACTACAAGCCATTCCACGGGACAAAGATGAGGCTTTCTGATCCTGTAAAGATTTATAGCCTTGGAAACCCTGCACAGGGTCACTATGGGTTGGAACCGACGCCACAGCATATCACCACCACCAAGGACATTATATATATATTCTCATAGTGGGTTTTTATATCTCACAGGTATGAAAATTTCCTTTCCCCTAAAACTGTATTTTCATATCAAGACTAAGCATCCTATATGGACACTTCTGTTACCAGAAAGTTTATTTATAATACTTTTTGGAATTAACTTACTGGGCCTCCCTCTGTGCACTGGTGACAGAGGAAGGGTCATTAGGTTAAAAAAACAAAAGACTGAAGGAAAGGCACTTTATTCGACCACATTCTGACTCTAATGAGAGCTAATTTTAGATTTTAAAAAAATATATTTTTAAGCATTTCCTAAATTCTGAAATAGTTATTTGCTCTTTTTTCTTCTTCCGGTCCTTCCTGGCCCCTTTTAATTATTCACATAAAAATGTATCTCAGGCAAATGAGCCTGGAATGTAATTGAGAGATGAATGGTGATTTATGAGCCCTGTGTGGACTTTAGGCTGGCAAACAAAATTTACTGGCAGACTTTACCCACAGGTATAATCAAACCAGCCCTATACTTGTGCAAAAGAAAAAACAAATAGTGAAACCAAAGGAGAAAAAAAACAAAACAAAAACCCCATCACTTTTTACCAGGTGTCATTAATAAAATGTCAAGAAGGCTGCTGAAAAAAGCAATTCTCCAGATATTCTCAGACGCAGATAGAGTTTCTGATCGATGACATTCCCCATTCCCCCCTGTATTTTCTCTTAATTGAGGTGAAATCCCACTGTGAAGTCAACAATTCAGGGGCATTTAGGATATTCACAATGTTGAATAATCACCATCTTGATCAAGTTCCAGAATGTTTTCATCAACCCCAAAGGAACCTTCCATGTCCATTCCACTCAATAGCTTTGAAGGAGCCCCTGCATTTTCAACAACTCTCCACTGGTTGTTGTTGCTGTTAAGTGCCATTGAGTCAGTTCTGACCCATACTGACCCTGAATAAGATTTCCAAGGAGCGACTTGGAGGTAAAGGGGTGGTTTCGAGGTGAGCTTATTGCATAGAATGCTCCTACACCACCCCCATGACCTTCTAGCTCTGTGATCTGAGGAAGCATAGAGTTTTGATCATGTGGCACTGTGGGTTAATGCGCTGGAATGCAAAGTCACTCTGAAGTGAAGGTCAGCGGTTCAAGCTCACCAGCTGCTCCTTGGAAACCCTACACAGCAATAACACTGCTGCCAAGCATCTTTCTCTGGGTTGTAAAGAATGGTGTGACAGCAGTGACAGGAGAGAAGGAGGCAGAGATGACGACTTGGAGAGATGAAGCATCTTGGTTCTAGAATCATGGAGGGAGAGGGACTGTGTGCCGGCGGCTGGGGGGCAGGCTTGCAGGGTATGCCCTTTGGGTGTTTGAATGATTGCCATATTCCTGAGTGTTTTAGTGTACATCCAAAAAAAAAACAAACAAAAACAAATGAAAGCAGGGAATAAAAGCAAATGCTACTGAATGATGATACATGGAGGGGATTGTAATCATTGCAATGAAACAAAATACAATAGGATGAGTGTAAAGCTGATGTTCTCCCGTGTTAAAGATCACTCAATTCACAATAAAAAAAAAAAACAAAAAGAATGCCTGGGACAAACTTTCAAGGGACAGCCTCAAGTTGACTTGGTGTCCCTGAGCAGCCCCCTTCTCTACCCATTTGTGAGCCACCCAAAGCCTCATGCTCAACCAGGTGCTTAGTCATTATTCATGCAATGAACATTTAGTGAGCATCTACTATGTGCTGCAGCACAGACAAGCATGCAGGGGGCAGTACAGAGCTGCTGCCTGTCATTCAGGTGAGGACTCTGGCTCCTTCCTTTAGGGCAACCCTCCCCCCCCCCATCATTCCATGTGGTCCTGGATGTGCCCTGCTCCTTCCTGTATCACCTGCCTTTGTGTGTGAGACCCGTGCCACTCAACAGGAAATTTTCTGAGATTTCACATATTTCTTATAAGAGATACAAATTTCCTTAAATGTATAAGCTTGGAGTTGCTTGTGGCCATCTTTTCCAACATTCAAAGCCAGCTTATTGGGAAAAGGCAAACTTCAAGGTAAAGAGAATGGAGTGCTTAGTAGTAAGAATATTCTGGTGACATCATCTAAACTCCTGGATCCAGCCATGCTTGAAACTAGCTAGCCTTTAAATTTTCCAATAGCAAGAGAAGACCATAAATGCGTAAAAAAAAAAAAAAAAGAAAGAAAGAAAGAAAGTATTTGCTAATTGCCACTTAAACCCAGAAGAACACTGATAAATCAGGGCATTAATGACTCATAAACAGAAAAAAAAAAAAAAAAGACAAATGTGGTTATATTGCATTTCCAGTTTAATAAATGCAGTGAATTTTAAAAACGGCTACAAAATACTTGGCAGTTTCTGCCATCAAGTCATAAAGTGTACTTCCCCAGGCTTTAAATCTGGACTGGAATCCTAGTGTGTAACTGGAGGATAAGCATTGGACTGCTAACCACAAAGTCAGTGGTTCGAACCCACCAGTTAGTTGCTCCTCGGAAACCCTATACAAGGTCCCTATGAGTCAGAAACTGACTCGATGGCACTTAACAACAACTCTGGATGGTCCTGTGACTTGCTTTGGTGACATCAGATGATTTCCAGGCACGGTCTCAAGAGCTCAGTTCAGTTTCTGGGAACTCTGAAGTCACTGACCTGTGAAGAAGCCCAGGCTGGAAAACGGTGTGCAGAGAGAGGCCCGTGTCCCAGGCATCCTGCAGTTGCAAGAATGAGACAAGGAGACACCAGCAGAAAAACCTTCCAAGTAAATCCACAGAATGGCGAGAAAAAAATCACTTGAATCACTTGCTGTGTAAGGCACCAAAGCTTTGGGATGGCTTGTTGCATGACAATGCTTACTATCAAACATTCTTAGTACTGCTATAGCAGAAAAACCACAAGTGGTTTTTCACAATCAGCAATTTGTTTTCTCACAGTTTGTTGGTGTTGTTAGGTGCCAGAAAGTCGGTACCGACTCATAGGGACCTTATGTACAACAGAACAAAACACTGCCCGATCCTGCACCAACCACATAAACGTTGCTACATTTGAAACCCCTGTTATTGCCCCTTTGCCAATCCACCTCGTTGGGGGTCTTTCTCTTTTTCTCTGACCTTCCATTTTACCAAACATGATATCCTTCTCCAGGGACTGGTCCCTCCCGATAATATGTCCGAAGTATGAGATGAAGTCTGGCCGTCCTGGCCTCCAAGGGCACTCTGGCTGTATTTCTTCCAACACGGATCTGTTTGTTCTTACGGCAGTCCATGGTACTTTTAATACTCAAATGTATCAATTTTTCTATGGCCTTCCTTATTCACTGTCCAACTTTCCCATGAATGTGAAGTTACTGAAAATACCATGGTTTGGGTCAGGTGCATCTTAGTCCTCAAACTGACATATTTGTTCTTCAACACTTCAAAGAAGTCTTGTGCATCAGATTTGATATCTTGACAGCTGCTTCCATGAGTGTTGATGGTTGATTTGAGCAATATGAAGTCTTTAACAACTTGAACATTTTCTCCATTTATTTTGATGTCATTTATTGGTCCAGTGGTGAGGATTTTTGTTTTCTTTACATTGAGGTGCAACCCATACCTAAGGCTGTGTTCTTTGATCTTCATTAGTAAGTATTTTAAGTCCTCTTCATTTTCAGCAAGCAAGGTTGTGTCATCTACATATTGCAGGTTGTTAATGAGTCCTCCTCCAATCCTGATGCTATGTTCTTCTTTATATAATCCAATTTCTTGGATTACTTGCTCAACATACAGATTGAATAAGTATGGTGAAAGAATACAACCCTGTCGCATACCTTTCCTAATTTTAAACCATTCTGTGTTACCTCGTTCTGTTTGAACAACTGCCTCTTGGTCTATGTACAGGTTCCTCATGAGCACAATTCAGTGTTCCAGAATACTCATTCTTTGCAATGTTGTCCATAGCTTTTCATGAAGCACAGGTAAACATCTTTCTGGTATTCTCTGCTTTCAGCCAAGATCCATCGGACATTAGCAATGATAGCCCTCGTTCCACATCTTGACCCTCAGGAAGTTCTCTGTCAATGTATGGTTGCAACCGTTTTTGAATTATCTTTAGCAAAATTTTAGTTGCATGCAATATCAATGATATTGTCCAATGATTTCTGCATTCCATTGAGTCAGCTCTTTGGAACGGGCACAAATATGGATCTCTTCCAGTCAGGTGGCCAGGTAGCTGTCTTCTAAATTCTCTAGTGCCACATTAGTATGTTGAATGATTTCAATTTGTTTTCTATCAATTCCCAGAGTCTTGTTCTTTGCCAATACCTTCAGTGCACCATGGCCTTCTTCCTTCAGTATCATTGGCTTTTTATCATATGCTACCTCTTGAACTGGTTGACCATCGATCATTTCTTTTTGGTACAATGACTCTGTATTCCTTCCATCTACTTTGATGCTTTCTGCATCATTCGATAATTTGCCCATAGAATCCCTCAATATTTCAAGGTGAAGTTTGAATTTTTTCTTCAGTTCCCTCAGCTTGAGGCATGCTGAGCGTGTTCTTCCGTTTTGGTTTTCTAATGCCAGGTCTTTGCACATTTTGTTATAATATTTGACTTTGTTTTCTTGAGCTGCCTTTTGAAAATTTCTGTTCAGCTCTTTTACCTCCTCATTTCTTCCATATGCTTTAGCATTTGTGTAAACTGGAGAGCAAGTTTCAGAGTCTCTTCTGACATCCATTTTGGTCTTTTCCTTCTTTCTTGTCATCTTACTGACCTTTTACTTTCTTCCTGTGTGATGTTCTTGATGTCATCCCACAAGGCTTCCTGTCTTTGGTCGTTAGTGTCTAATGCATCATATCTGTTCTTCAGATGATCTCTAAATTCAGGTGGGGCATGTTTTGCTCCTGTGGATGGACTTGTTTTCTTTTTCTTCAGCTTCAACCTGAACTTGTTTGTATGTGAGCACTTGATGGTCTGCTCCACAGTCTGGCCCTGGTTTTAGCTGAGGGTATGGAGCTTTTTCCACAGTCAGAATTCAGAGCACCAGATCGCAGGCCAGGCTTTCTCTGGATGCCAGCTCTTGGCTGCAGAGGTCCTCGTGTCTTTTCAGCCTCAATTCCTCGGCTCCTTGTGGCATTTCTCTCCCCTCATCTATACTTGCTACTGCTGTGCTGGTGGTGGCTATGTGCCATGGAGTTTGTTCTGACTCATGTTGTTGTTACGTGCCATTGAGTCGGTACCAACTCATAGCAACCTTATGCACAGCAGAACGAAACACTCACTGCCCGATCCTGGGCCAACCTCATTACTGTTGCTACACTTGAGTCCATCGATGCTGCCACTTGGCCAATCCATCTTGTTGGGGATCTTCCTCTTTTTCGCTAACCATCTACCTTACCAAATATATCCTTCTCCAGCGACTGATCCCTCCTGACAATATGTCCAAAGTATGAGAGGTGAAGTTTGGCCATCTTGGCCTCCAAGGAGCACTCTGGCGGCACTTCTTCCAAAACGGATCCATTGGTTCTTCTGATTCATAGTGAGTCTGTATAAGGTTTCTGAGGCTGTAAACCTTTATGGAAACTTAAAGCCTCATCTTTCCAGTAGTTTCAAACTGCTGACCTTAAGATTAGCAGCCCAACTTGTAACCACTATGCTACCAGAGCTGCTGTGCCTAAACTGCTCCTTTTGCAACTTGAAGTGAATGGCTTAAAATACACCCTACACTGGTATGGTCTCAGTAACATAATAAAGAAACCTGCTGGGACTATGTTGTTGCTGTTAAGTGTCCATGGAGTTGGTCTGACTCATAGAGATCTTGTGTAAGATTTCAGAGGAGCAACTGGTAAGCTTGAACTGCCATCCTTGTGATTCAAACCTACTTGCAGTCCAGCACATGAACCCGCCGTGCCACACTGGGACTCTATCCACATGTATCTGTTGGTGTTGTATGTGCTGTCAAGTCGGTTCTAACTCATAGGGGCCTGGTTCTGAGAATGACTGGTGGGTTTGAGTTGCCTACCTTGAATGAGGTTAGCAGTCCAGTGTTTATCCTACAGCGACAACTGCATATTTTGGGGAGCGCTGGGGTAACATTCAATCCATCACAGTATCCTAGCCGGCCTTCCCGCCTTAGAGGAGCATCTCTCAAGTCTGTTCCCAGGACACCTGCATCAGGACCACCTGGACCTGAAGGTGCAGATTCCCAGGTATGCCATTCCTGATGGTTCTGGTCCTTATAGACTCCAAGGACCACTGCTGGCTCAGGGTTTGGTCCCTACAGAGAACTGGCTCTTTTTGGACTGCTTCCTTAAGAATCACTGGAGGAAACAGGACCAGGTTTACTGGTGGGATTGAGAAGAGACTAGCGGAACTCCTAAAACTGGCCCTTAGTCATCGTCAGGTCTGGAAATGAACTCACCCATCTGGCTCAACGTCCAGCCAAGTGGTAGACCGGTCTAGGAGGAGAACAGTAATGTGTTCTACGGAGGTATGCACTCCTTAGAATCATCAGTTATTTGAGATCAAAACAATAGCATTTACACAAGGATAAATTTCATAGGAGTCAGGAAAGAAGTCAGAAATGGATATGTGATATTACATCTTAGGGACTGTAATCAATGACATCAACAAAATGTGTGCGACCTGTTAAACTGAAAACGATCTCCTCTGTAAACCTTCACCCAATTCAGAATTCAAAAAAAAATTAATTAAAAATGCCAGGTTACGGTTAAATGGGGAGAAACCAACTTGGCTTCTCCCCAGGACTGCTTGCATGCACCTGTTCTGGCCCCCGCTCCTGTTTTATTCGCTGGTTCTTTGACAAGTCTCCTCCTTTGCTCAGTCTTCTGGTCTCAGCGCTCCCTTCCTCCTGCTAGGAGATGGGTTTTCCATCATTCATGGTTGACTGTGAGGTAATTAGAAGTACTGCCACACTTAGATGCTAACCACACCTGGGCTTGAATCCCAACTCTGTGGCTTGCTCTGCACAGCTTTGGGCAGTTTCTTCATCTTTAAGTGAGGGTGATAAAATCTCTTTTGAAGACTGGGGAGATAAAAATAAACTAATGAAGATGCAGTCCCGCATGCCGTAGGGGCTCAAAAACCAGTGGTGGTTGTTATTTGGCATAAAATGAGGAATTTGGTTGAATCTCCTGGGAATAAGATGCGTTTATCTTTTTCTTTTTTGGAAGTAAGGAACCTCAGTGATGCAGTGGTTAAGCATTTAGCTTCTAACTGAAAGATCAGTGGTTCAAGTCTACCAGAAGCTGCTCGGAGAAAGGTGTGGCAGTCTGCCTCTGTAAAGAATTCCAACTCATAGTGACCCTATATAGGGTTTCCAAGGAATGGCTGGTGAGTTTGAACCGCCTACCTTATGGGTTCAAACCTACCTTATGGTTGAGTGCTTATCCTACAGCGCCCACCACACCAGGATGGGGCTGTTCTACTCTGTTCTGTCTGTCGAGTCACTGAGTCTCAATGACTCAACAACTGGGCCTGGGATTAGTTTTTTGTTTTTCTTTTGTGGAAGCCAAAACCCCCCAAGGCACTCCCAGGCCACAGAGAACTTGGAGAGGCAAGCCCCTCTGCCTGCTACCACAGCTGTCTTTCTCCTGAGACCCCTCACCTTATCCTGCAGGGCCAGGTCCTGATCCGCAAAAATCTCCCTGGGAGGACTTGTCCTCGGAAGTCCATCGGCCACTCCTTGTCCAGGCAGATCCACAGCATTGGTCCACACTAAGGTACAATATTGACAGAGGGCACAAAATAGAAATGTGAGTTTCCTTAAGGCCTGGAAGAGTATTTCCTTTTGCAGTTTATGTCTTATATAACTTTGAAACTATAAAGAGGCTTATATGCTCATTGAAGAACCAGGAAAGCCTTACAAACACATTGAAAAGGGAAGTTCATTCACCCCACTCCTCTTTCCCGATGCTAACTGTGCTGTCCTTTGGTTTGATGGTTCTTTTTTCCAGATTGTCTATGCTACATACTAGCTAGCAGCCTTGGTCATTTAATCTCCCTAAACCTGTTTCCATATATATAACATAGTAACAATAATTTGTTGTTGCTATTGTTAAGTGCCAGTCAAGGCGGTTCTGACTCATAGTGACCCTGTATAGGGTTTCCAAGGAGCAGCTGGCTGGTGGGTAGTCTTTAAGGGCTACTGTGAGAATTGGGGAGCATGGTGGCACTATACCATAAACACTGGACTGTGAACGACAAGGTTGGCAGTTCGAACCCACCAGTCACTCTTTGGGATAAAGATGTAATTTGGAAGGATATTTAGAATTCTGCTATTAAGATTTCTTGGCTGCTAGTAGTATATTTTTAATTTCTAACTGAATATGATTTCTGTGGGTCTGGATTATGTGAAGAATAACCTGGTATTCAGGATTGGAGAAAGGCTCATTCACAACCTATGGTATGCAGATGACACAACCTTGCTTGCTGGAAGTTAAAAGGACTTGAAGCACTTACTGATAAAGATCAAAGAATACAGTCTTCACTGTGGATTATACTTCACTTGGACCAATAAACAACATCACAATAAATGGAAAAAAGATTGAAGTTGTCAAGAATTGCATTTTATTTGGATCTATAATCAATGCCTATGGATGCAGATGTCAGGAAACCAAATGATGTATTGCACTGGGAAAATCTGCTGCAAAGGGTCTTTTTAAAGTGTTAAAGAACAAAGATGTCACTTTGAGGACTAGGGTGGACCTAACATGCATGAAAATGTTGGACAATGAATGAGTAAAACCGAAGAAGAATTGATGCCTTTGAATTATGGCGCTGGCAAAGAATATTAAACAAATAATCATGGAATTCCAGAAGAATGAACAAATCTGTCTTGGAAGAAGTACAGTCAGAATGCTCCTTAGACGCCAGAATGGCGAGACTTCATCTCACATACTTTGGACACATTATCACGAGGGACCAGTTCCTGAAGAAGGACATCATACTTGGTAAAGTAGAGGGTCAGAGAAAAAGAGGAAGGCCCTCAATGAGATGAACTGACAGTGTGGTTGCAACAATGGGCTCAAACAGAGCAAAGATGATGCAGAACTGGGCTGAAATTCATTCCGTATTTAGGGTCACTAGGTCTCAGAAACAGCTCTACAGAACCTAACTCAACATGATTGCTGGGGAATCAGTGCTCGTTCTCTGTCTCTTCTTGTGAAGTGAGATATCGAACCAATCATGTTCATATATAATAAAACATCAATGAATGTTACCATTAACAATGAGCACACCATCACATTAATGGGTCTTTATTTCATCATTTACTTGTTTTTTGATTCTGCATTTTTTATTTATGCATTTTTGAGACAGTAATTTTTCACATGGACCTCGCCAGATGGAACACATAGAAATCAAATAGACTACATCTGTGGAAAGAGAAGATGGAAAAGCTCCATATCATCAGTGAAGACAAGGCCAGGGGCAGACTGTGGAACAGACCATCAATTACTGATATGCAAATTCAAATTAA